ATCTTTAGACACTATATAAAAGATTTAGAAGTGAAAAGAAATTAGTTGACTTTCTATACATTGGGAGACTACAAAAGTTCCAGCCTGTACATTTATAAATTCTACAAATAAAGTCTCACTTGGAACTTACAGTACCTACAGGCATTGGGGCACTAAAAAATAAGTTTGACATTGCTGTCAGAAAGCCAAGATGAGAAAAAAATTGAAATGGCCTAATCCACATTACCACAGGAGCACAAATGAGTAATTTTATTCATTTAGCTCCCCTTACAAGGACTAGATTCTCTTTCACACTTCAGCGATGCAAATCCATTGTCAGCCTTTTGAGTCTCATGAAACTTTTATTGCCTAAAATATTCTTTTCCTCTTAAGTACTTCAGTCTTCCCCATACAGTTTGACTTCTAGTTTTAGGCTGCTCTGTCACCTGTTGGTCCCATAGCCAGCTGGGCTGCGGGTACCTGAGAGCAGATGGCCATGTGTCCTGTGCTGCCCCTTCTCCATCAGTAGCGCCCATAGCAGCTAAGAGACCCGCATCTCCTCAGTGTGAGGCCCCACCTACTTACTGCCTGCAATTTTGTGTAAGCTACTTGATTGTTCTGAACCAGAAGAAATCATTGACTGTAAAATGGGGACAACCACACCATCAACCCCCTGGAGTGGGAAAAAATTGAATGAAGTATTCTCCAGTGCCTAGTGGAGGAGCCTGGTGCCCGGGGAGCCCTCAACACGCAGCAGCCTGTGCAGCTCCCACTCCACATTCCAGATCTTTTATAAGATCCAGAGGCAAAATATAATTCTTAGTTGGCGTTTAAGAGGTTCCATATTTTATATCAACATTTTTATACAGATGATCTGTCTCTCGTCATCTGGGGATCTTCTGTGCTTCATCCATTCTCTTTTTTCATTTGCAAGTTTAATATCTTGGAACTCAGGGTCTGATTTATAATCTAATCTTCTAAATAACTGAAACACGTTTCGTTATCTTACAGCCAGTCAAACAGAGCACTAATTTTGTTGATTCTTTGAAAGTAAGATTTTTTTCCTTGAGGAGTTTTCATTACATATCATAAGAGACCCTGGAAAATAGCACAATAAATAAATACTTATATATTTATTCAAATACATATACATATATGCATATATAAATAAATATTTTTGGCAAATCAATAAAGAGATTTTGTAAAGACAAGTGTAGTCCTCAAGTAGGTAGCTCTTCTGCATTGTTCTTCCAGCTTTAACTCTCCTCCAAAAGCCTTAGCCTAAGAATTTCACTATTATTATCATCACTTGAATTTCTTAGACAAAGAGATACTGCTTATTTTACTATGAGCATTTCTGTGAGTCACTTGCAAACATTTTAAATTTACATCACATTAAACTGATGTCTAGTTCTTTATATTAGTCTGTGTTAGACTGCATGATGATTTATATTCATTACAGAGAGAAGATATAATCACTAATGTCTCTTAGCTGTTTATTTCTTTTCCCATCCCCGTCTTCCCTGTTCCCCGCATCTCAGAAGCCTACCTCATTTTTCAAAGTTCTATCTTTCTGTTTCATGTTGTCTGTCTTTTCTTTTGCTCTTTAGAGTATTTATGCTTTGAATTCATCATATTAGAGAAGTTATGAGATATATCAACTCATGATGGCTAGTCTTTTGAGGGTAAAAAATCCTGATTATTAGAGCTCTCTTGGGATTAAAATGTCTATGGTGATGAAAATCCTTAACAATGTGGATGTATGTTCCAAATTACCTAGAGCACTCATGAGTTTTGACTGTCTTTCTACAATTATTATTAGCACCTCCTTCTTTAATATTCACAAGTGTCCTGATGTGAATGGTACATCATACAATACCCAACATAAATACTTCAGTAGGTCAGAATCTTTGACTTAGTCTTTATTATTTGGAGGCTAGGCTTCTAGTCCATCAGCCATTCATGTGGCTCTAGCCAGCTGTCCATCTTTTATATTTTTCTATATACTATTAATGTAAAGAAAAATAAACACACCTGGCCCTAATTCTTGGAGATTATAATTTATTAGAGGAGATCAATAAAGTAATTATACCACAGGAATACTAAAACTCCTTAGGTGAGACACAACACGTTAGCATAGCTTATAAAATATGACCTATGGTAGGGCAGCACCTATAGGCAACAGAAACACACCTGCTGTCATTTTTTTGGCAACAGGATGTCACTTCAATTGGACATGGCATTCTATTTGGTGTTGCTATGGCAAGAAAGCATTTTAGGGGACGGGGATATAGCTCAGTGGCAGGGCACCTGCCTGGCAAGTGCAAGGTCCTGAGTTTGATTCTTGGTTCAAAAAAATAGAAAGAAATAAAAAAAAATAGAGTGGCCTCTGAAAATGGACACTAAGTGATAATATGGAACAGGAAGCTGATCCTTGATTTCTGAGTTAAGTGCCAAAAGTTGATCTGAGTAATAAAGAGAAAGAGGACAGAAAAATAGTAGTTGGTACAATGAGCTCCTGGAGGGCAAAGAGTATATCAATGGTCCCCCCCTGAATTCCTTTTGACATACAATTTTAAGCACAAGGCAAAAATATTCAGGGCATCTTGACCTTGCAATGGCAGAGAGAAGAAAAAGCCAGAAGGCATGCTTTCCATGTGGATCAGGGAGAGTTAGAAAGGTTCTCCTTCTCTTTTCTTATGTTTGTGACGTCAGCCACCGAAACAGGCTTGGCTTGGTAATTTGGAAAAGGATGAATAAATGTGAAGGTTTTGAGAAGGTTTCCATGGACTACAGATATGAGGAGTTTCTTCTTAGAAAGAACTGTGGAACATGTGGAAGCCAGTATGGACTAGAGTGTGCTTGAAAACAGGATTTCTAGTTATTGACAGAACACCAGGTGTGTAAATCGGCCTCTGAGATCTTGGATGATTAACTGGCCTGCTTTTCCTTTAACTGTTGCCTGAAGAGAACATTTTTGATACAGACTCTTCCAAAGATGGAAAACTAAATAACTACTTACGTTTACAGAGGACAGGCCAAGGGCAAAAAAAAAAAAAGTAAGAAAAGAAAAAAAATGATTCTTATTCCCTCACACCTGCATAATCTATACATTGTTAAACTATATTTTCATCCATGGGCTCTGAACAAATACAGGTAAATTACAGATAAACTTCAATTGGTAGTAGTCTAATATTTTACCTAGCCAAATATGTATTAAATGAGATATAATTGTGTATAAAAACCCAGTATATTCTTCCAAAGATTAAATGACAGTGGCTGAGTTCCATGTGGTTTTTTATTTAATAAGATACATTAATGCATATATTTCACATGTGTAATCAATGTGCATTGGTATCATAGAGCTCTGAGTTGAGGGGTAGAGAGGACTAGATTTTAATCCTGGCCAGCCATGTATTAGCTTTGTCTTTGGCAAATCTTTGAGCCACACTTTCTTCATCTGTGTAACAGGAAGGCTACAATGAAATGTGGAATCGCTGATGAGGTTTGAGGACTTAATACATCACAAACTAGCTGTCAGTACATGGCACATAACTCGCAGTAAACAAGAGGTGCTTTTATGGTAATTAAATGCTTATTTAATAACCTGAGTGATAGTTTGATCTCTTCAGACCACAGTTTTCTCATATTTAACATGAGATTTAACTATACCTTTTCTACCACTGATTGTGGGTTATTTTAATATTTTTTAGGTATTTTCCATTTACTTTTAATTTTTTGGTACTGAGGATCACACTCAGGACTTTGCGCTTACCGGGCAGGTGTGTATGCTGCTGGGCTATCTCTCCAGCCCAACCATGATTATTTTAGAAATGACCTACTATATATGCAATCATCATCAAAAGTCCTAATTTCTTTCTTGCTAGCACCCATTCAGGTATATATCCTTTCACATTATTTACGTGTCTTCTTTCCACAAATACTCTAAGTGCAGGATAAATACTTTTTTTTTTTTTTTTTTGTAGAACTGGGAATTGAACTCAGGTTCTTGCACTTGCCAGGGAAGTGCTTATTCCACTGAGCCATCTCTCCAGCGAGAAATGCTTTTTTCCTGCTTCATCAAGG